CAGACCAAGTCGTCATTATTTAACGACTCATTGAGGAATACATAATCTGAACAGTGTAATTCCCATGTGGCAAACGTGCAGCCTAATTATTAAAGTGCCAGCCTGGGTGACACTGTGCCAGCCAGGATGACACAGTGACAGACTGACATGGTGACAGTCTAAATAAAACAAAGCCACTGACACAGTCTCACTAACACAGTGCCATTGTCACATTGATAATCTCATTGTCACAAAGCCACTGATACAGGGATAGTCTCAGTGACACAATGTCACGGACACCGATAGCCTCACAGACTCAGTGCCATTGACATTGCCATTGACACAGTGATAATTTGATTCAACAACTGACATATAATTACCTCTGTAAAAAAAAACACTGGACAAGTTTGAGTGATGTAGGTCCATTTTAAGTGGCCAGGATAATTTAGAACAAGGCAGGGCCACCTTAGGTGACAGAGTAACAACCTGGGTGAGACTGTACAAGCCTGGGAGATATTGTTCCAGCCTGGATGACAGTGTACCAGCCTCGGCAGCTCTGTACCAACCTAGGTGACACTGTACCAGTCTGGATAACAATGTACCAGCTTGTATAACACTGTACTAGGCTGAATGATACAGTTCTACCATGGATAAGCCAGTGGCAGCCTTGATAACACAGTGCTAGCCTGCACGACATAGTACCAGCTTGGATGACACAGTGACAGCCTGGATGACACAGTGACAGCCTGGATGACACAGTGCCAGCCTGGGTGACAGAGTACTGAAACATATTTAAAAGCGAATGCATGCGGAGAAATAAATATGACTGATCAAAAGAGTGCTTCGAGTGGGAACCCGTTTTTAAAGCACTTTGTTTACTAAACCTATGTACATATGCTGGAGAAAGCAGTTGTTTAAATATTCCAGACTTATTAAAACTGCGGTCTGGTAGAGCCTTTTCTATTATATAACGTTTATTAGGCAGTAGACTGAATTTTATATATATATATATATATATATATATATATATATATATATATATATATATATATATATATATATATATATATATATATATATATATATATATATATGTCGTACCTAGTAGCCAGAACGCACTTTTCAGCCTACTATGCAAGACCCGATTTGCCTAATAAGCCAAGTTTTACTGAATTAATATATTTTCTCTATTTTTTTTCTTATGAAATGATAAAGCTACCCATTTCATTATGTATGAGGTCAATTTATTTTTATTGGAGTTAAAATTAACGTAGATATATGACCGAACCTAACCAACCCTACCTAACCTAACCTATCTTTATAGGTTAGGTTAGGTTAGGTAGCTGAAAAAGTTAGGTTAGGTTAGGTTTGGTAGGTTAGGTAGTCGAAAAAACATTAATTCATGAAAACTTGGCTTATTAGGCAAATCGGGCTTTGCATAGTAGGCTGAAAAGTGCGTTCTGGCTACTAGTTACGACATATATATATATATATATATATATATATATATATGTCGTACCTAGTAGCCAGAACTCACTTTTCAGCCTACTATTCAAGGCCCGATTTGCCTAATAAGCCAAGTTTTCCTGAATTAATATATTTACTATAATTTTTTTCTTATGAAATGATAAAGCAACCCTTTTCTCTATATATGAGGTCAATGTTTTTCTATTGGAGTTAAAATTAACGTAGATATATGACCGAACCTAACCAACCCTACCTAACCTAATCTAACCTATATTTATAGGTAAGGTTAGGTTAGGTAGCCAAAAAAAGCGAGGTTAGGTTAGGTTAGGTAGGTTAGGTAGACGAAAAAACATTAATTCATGAAAACTTGGCTTATTAGGCAAATCGGGCCTTGAATAGTAGGCTGAGAAGTGCGTTCTGGCTATTAGGTACGACATATATATAATATATATATATATATATATATATATATATATATATATATATATATATATATGTCGTACCTAGTAGCCAGAACGCACTTCTCAGCCTACTATGCAAGGCCCAATTTGCCTAATAAGCCAAGTTTTCATGAATTAGTTGTTATTCGACTACCTAACCTACCTAACCTAACCTAACTAAACTTTTTCGGCTACCTAACCCAACCTAACCTATAAAGATAGGTTAGGTTAGGTTAGGTAGGGTTGGTTAGGTTCGGTCATATATCTACATTAATTTTAACTCCAATAAAAAAAAATTACCTCATACATAATGAAATGGGTAGCTTTATCATTTCATAAGAAAAAAATTAGAGAAAATATATTAATTCAGGAAAACTTGGCTTATTAGGCAAATCGGGCCTTGCATAGTAGGCCCAGAAGTGCATTCTGGCTACTAGGTACGACATATATATATATATATATATATATATATATATATATATATATATATATATATATATATATATATATATATATATATATATATATATATATTTAATATATATATATATATATATATATATATATATATATATATATATATATATATATATATATATATATATATACTTTCT